GACCAGTACGAACCAGTACAGACCAGTTGGGATTGTGGAAATCAGTATGGGCCAGTATGGGCCAGTATGGACCAGTATGGGCCAGTATGGACCAGTATGGACCAGTATAAACCAACATGGACCAGTACGGACCAGTACAGACCAGTACGAACCAGTACAGACCAGTTGGGATTGTGGAAACCAGTATGGGCCAGTATGGACCAGTATGGACCAGTATAGACCGGTATGGACCAGTACAGACCAGTACTGACCAGTACGGACCAGTATGGACCGGTATGGTTTGGTATAAACCAGTACAAACCAGTATAAACCAGTATGGACTGTCCCAGTCCCCTCCCAGTCCAAACCAGTGGTCCCAGTCCCACCTGGCTGCTGGCCTTGGCAGCCATCTTGAATAACTCACTTGGCGGCCATCTTGGATTGCATTATTTGGCCGCCATCTTGGATTGCGAGCTCACTTAGCACTATAAACCAGTATACACCAGTATAAACCAGTATGGACCACTATAAAACCAGTATAAACCAGTATGGACTGTCCCAATCTCCTCCCAGTCCCCTCCTAGTCCAAACCAGTGCTCCCAGTCCCACCTGGCTGCTGTCCTTGGCAGCCATCTTGAATAATTCACTTGGCGGCCATCTTGGATTGCATTATTTGGCCGCCATCTTGGATTGCGAGCTCACTTAGCACTACAAACCAGTATAAACCAGTATAAGCCAGTATGGGCTGTCCCGATCTCCTCCCAGTCCCCTCCCAGTCCAAACCAGTGCTCCCAGTCCCACCTGGCTGCTGTCCTTGGCGGCCACGTCGGCCATGTTGTCCCTCCGGGCCTGGTGCACGGCCAGGGCCGCCCTGGTGGCGCCGCCGGCCACGCCCACCACGCACTGCAACCAGTACGGACCAGTATGAACCAGTATGGACCAGTATGGACCAGTTCAAACCAGTATGGACCAGTTCAAACCAGTATAAACCAGTACAACTAGAACAAACCAGTGTAAACCAGTATAAACCAGTACACACAGGTTCAGTTGTTACAGTGACTCCCCAGTCCCTCCCAGTATAAACCAGTAACCTCCCAGTATAGACCAGTGACCCCCCAAGGGCTTCCCAGTTCATCCCAGTCCCCTCCCAGTTCATCCCAGTCCCTCCCAGTATAAACCAGTAACATCCCAGTCCCTCCCAGTATAAACCAGTATAAACCAGTTCCCTCCCAATCCCTCCCAGTCCCTCCCAGTATAAACCAGTATAA